TCCTGCAGGAAGCGAAAGTGACGATGAACGGGCACTTCACGTTACTCTGCAACAACCAGAGCGCGGTCAAGATCGCGAACAAGCCCGGCTTCGTGAACCGCACGAAACACATCGCACTCCGTTACTTCTTCGTCAAGGACGAGATTGACAAGGGCAAGGTCAAACTCACGTATTGCCCAACCGGTGACATGGCAGCAGATTTCTTGACCAAGAAGCTGCCACGTCAGAAGTTTCAGCACTGCACCGACCTCTGCGGGATCTCAAAGAAATTCCACGTGGCTCACCTTCAGGAATGAAGGGGAGTGTTGGAATAACCGAAAGGTTATCATAGCATTTCCGAAGGCTCTCCACTCGCGTGTCCCTCCATAACAAAGCAACGAGCCTGTATCAGTATCGCAATAGCTCATATAGAGCATGCGGAAGGTCGAGGGTCACCCGAAGGTCAACAGTCGAAGACAGTCAACTGTCGTGACCCTTGACTGCCCAGTAACCGCACTTGGTAGTTACGCGATGCAACCTGGTAACGGTCAAGAAGAGCAATGGTCGTGGTTACTGTAGCAATGCAATCCAGTTAATATGGGAATGTACCCCTCAGAGTACATGGCTAGCTAGGATTGCTATTTATACCCTTGTACTCCTATCTTATATTCATATTGTTCTCTTTCAATTTATCAACATGGTCATTACAGAGACTTCATTGTCTTCTCTCAAACTTGACAGACTTATCCTGTCCACTACGATCCTTTAGTTATAACAACAGCTGCCAGCTGCAACTGCTGAAGATATCGCCTGATTCTGGCGAAGTGAAGACAAAAGAACTTCAGTTCGAGTACTCGATCATTTACATTTCGGTTTCTGGTCTACTGCTGCGGGTTCACCCTCGAACATTTTTTGGGGCACGTAATACCTGGTTTCATCATCGACTTTCCACACCGACACGTTTTCACCTGGATTTCTACGCTCGACGCTCATTTTCGTGGGACTTAACACCTGGATTTTTGTTTGTTTTCATCTCGGCGCAGCTGCGAAACGTTTTCTGTGGTTCGTTTCTTGAAGGGGGGGAGAAAGTGCGCTGCACTGTTCTTTCCTTGGCGTTTCTGACTTTGTCAGGATGCAGCAGCACGACGGACGATCGCGATCACACCGACAAGATCAACGGTTTCTGCTACATCGCGATTGAATTTCGCGTCAGCAGCTTCCCTCCAAAACCGCGTCAGTCTCATCCGTCCGATCTACATTCGAAAGCATCTACGGTCCTTATTCAAACCTTCATTTCGAATTGGTTAAGACCATCTGCGTCCGTCAGATCGAGATCTGACTATGTCAACGGCCTACATTCCAACTTTTCAAAATAGATTGTCAAAGGCATTTCAGCTGTCGGATTCAGCTGAAGAGGAGATCGACGGCATCCTCGTTAAAACGGGCTTCTGCTACGTACAAGGTGTTGGAATAGTAGGAAAGAAGAATGAGAACAGAGAAGGGGGGTTGCACTAGCAGGCAGTTGAGTACATATAGGAAACCCTAATTTGGGCTATACTCGCTATAGAGTACCCCACTGCATGCTAGACAAATATCACATTCTGACACACCCCCATAGTCAAAGTGGGGTATAATCAGCACAGCAAGCAGTCATAGAGCAGGTTCACAAGTACAAGCAAAGCTAGAGGCATTCACAAATGGCAAGTGAGGAGGAGGAGGCGGGACTGTGAGAGGAGAGGAGATAGGAGGCGATGGCTGAAGCTGCAGACACACAGGCAACAGGAGCCGCACACACGGAGTGGCTACCGGAGCAAGGGCCCCGGACTACAGGAGTAACTGGCTCCGCGGCTAAGACGAGCGGCAGGAGCAACGGACCCACGGGCAACTGGCGCGGCTGGCTCATACTGGGCTACCGGAGCAAGGGCCCTGGACTACTGGCGCTGCTGACGACACGACGGCTACCTCCGCTCAACCTCCCCCAACTGTCCCACACCCCTTTCACACACCCCTTGCTGTACCCCTAGCTCCACTCCCACGACACCCCCCTAGCGCCACTCCCTCGGCTCCCACACACCCACCCCCCTCAGCGGCAGCTGCAGCAGTGGGAGACGGAGGAGGAGGAGGAGCAGGGGACGGTTCACACACCCGCCACTCCCATACCCGCCACCCCCATACCCTCCACCCCACGGCTGCACGCGCAGCAGGGAGAGGAAGGAGAAGGGGGGGGGGGGCGGGAAAGAAGCTGCCCCGCGCCGCACGAGGGCAAGGGACGGCGCGCGGGTCCACAGGGCAGCGCGCACGGGTCCACAGGGCAGCGCGCGCGGGTCCCCTAGGGCGACGCGCGGGTCGACGGGGGCTTCGCGCGGGTCGACGGGGCAGCGCGCGCGGGTCCCCTGGGGCGACGCGCGGGTCCCACGGGGCGGCGCGCGGGTCGACGGGGCAGCGCGCACGGGTCCCCTGGGGCGACTCGCGGGTCGACGGGGGCAGCGCACGGGTCGACGGGGAAAGACGCGCGGGTCCCCGGGGGCGGCGCGACGGTCGACGGGGGGGACGCGCGGGTCCCCGGGGTGACGCGTGAGGCAGTAACCCGCCGCGCGCCTCGGGGCGCACGGCGGGCAGAAAACCGCCGCGCGCCCCGAGCGCGCGGCGGGCAGAAAACTGCCATGCACCCCGAGCGCGTGGCGGGAAGAAAAAACGTCGCGCGCCACGGGGCGCGCGACAGACAGGACAGCAGCGTAAGCAGGTGGGCCCAGAGCCCAAGAGCGTACTCGCTCTGATAGCATGTTGGAATAGTAGGAAAGAAGAATGAGAACAGAGAAGGGGGGTTGCACTAGCAGTCAGTTGAGTACATATTGGAAACCCTAATTTGGGCTATACTCGCTATAGAGTACCCCACTGCAGGCTAGACAAATATCACATTCTGACACAAGGCTGCCTTACTTAGGAGGTGGGAGAGTGTGAGGATTTACAAATCCTTACTGAGGCACTCGTTAGCGAGGCCATCCCGAGGGTCACGCGACGAACCTTTTTGCCCTATTTCGTCGCACCGAACCACCCCCAAGTCGGCCCCCGCTCCAATCGCGACATCACCGAGCCATCTTCGCCCGACCTCCCCGCCTAGCTAGCTTTTCCCCTATTTAGGCCTCGTCACGTCACTTTCATTGTATCGGCATTCTGTAATTTCCATTCTCGATATTCGTTATTCTGCGCACTCTGCAAGTTCATTCATAACAGACTGGGTTACCATGTTTTCAAGTGATAAACCTTTGCCTCCTGCTTGAGGTATGTAGACCGCAGCTTAGCGTAAAAGGCATGCATTTGAAAACACACACTCGGTTGGGATTGACCGATTAGGGGCCAACTTCACTGGCATGCAAAACAATACAGTAACCATATGCAGTTCTATGCAAAAGTGTCGAAACCTCATTTCTGTAGTTATTGACTACTCGCACATGTAACGCGTTTGTATCTAGTTTAAGCAGTGGTTTCTGCCGCGCTTGGCTTTGCCCTATATTTCTATTTCTTCGGGCGACTATTTCTGCCCGACGAGATCGTAAAGAGTTCGATTATGAATGTCCCCGGATATTTCGAAAGAGGACTAAAATAAACCCCTCTCGGATGGCAAGCCCATTAAGAGGCATCAACCCTAAACACCTTGCCTCATGGTGTTTATGGTTGATGCCTCCCTAGACGGCATGCCATCCAAGAGGGGTTTATTTATTTTTTTACTTTTTTTAATCCCGACTTTCGTGCATGCATTGACGCGATGACGTGGGGTATCCTGCAAACAGAAATATACAGGAAGTTAAGAAAAAAATGGAGCCCGTAAACTTTCATTCCAACGGATTTTCATAGATGTCGTTTTGCACATTTTCCGTGCATTCTGCTCATTTAGCGGAAAATAGCTGCCCGCGGGAATCAGTATGGAGCGCAAACCGAGGCGCGGTAATGACCACCGTGGTAAGATAATGAAAAGCGAAACCACGGGGAGTGTATTCATTCCCTCATTGTGCTGGACAGCTGTTACAGTGTTTTTGAGTGGCGGTACCAGACAAGCCTGCGCAGCAGAACTGGGGTATCGACACATTTGCATACAACTGCACAGGGGTACAGTATTGTTTTGCATGCCAGTGAAGTTGGCCCGACCGATTAGCCTCGGTTTTGTTATTGTTGGGGTGTTCTTGGATCTTGGGTGGATTCCGTTCGCCTGTGTGAAGCTCACGTGGCCTTCGGCAAAGTCATTCTTGTCAACGAATTTCCATTCGTTGCGGATTCCACAGCGGGAGCCCCCTTCCGCCGACGAACTCAGTATTATGCATGCGTGTCGTGTGCGACATACATGCGAACTTGCCACCGTGTTATGGTAATCACCGCCACTGTCGTGGAGTTCGCATCCCCTGCCACACCCGCCTCGTCAGCTTTTCTGGTTCTGAACGTCGACCTCTTCGATTCACCCCTTCGCTTGTTGTTCTTCCTCCAAAGCGCTGCAAAGCTGCTTCTTGGCCAAATACACACACACACACGCACACCTCCAATAATTTTCCGTGACGACCCGCCACAATAATCTCGACAGCAGTTCACTCCACACGCAGGAGCCAGAGTCAAGAGGTATATTTTTTACGTAGGAGTCACGTTGCATGTCTGCAGACCGTCTCCACGCAATGCGACGATAAGAAGCTTTATCGCGACCCTATTGCCTTGTACATCCTTTCCTTCCTTTTGGCCTACAGAACTGATCATCTATCGCTACTTGGAAAGATTCGTTCGGTTTGACGACGTAAGGAAATTACAACGTACTGCTTAAGTTCTCCCCTCTCAAACTTTTCTACGGCCTGTACGATCTGTAGTAGTGCTACGTGTAGTCCCTGCCGCGGTGCGCCTCCTCGGAGGGTTGAAGGGCATCCAGCGCTAGAACACCCTCGTTTTGACCCAGTGAGTAGCGGAGCCTACTACCGTGGGCGGTTGTCGTAGTAGTAAATCTACCGCCGCGTTCCAAATTTGGAACTGCTTAAGCCCGCTCCATGCCGTCAATACGAACTCGCGCCGCGTTCCACGGCGTTGCGTTCTGTAGCGGCGAGAGGCGGCGCGGCGTCGCGTCACGGTCAGCAGCCGTCCCCCTCGCCGTGCCTCCTCGGCGACGCGCCCGCGCCGCCGTCCTCCTCGCTCGCGACGCGCGGCGAATGTCAGCCGTGCTGTTACTCGCCGCGCTTCTCGCGCTTCAACCCGGAGCGCAACCGCGACTCGCTTGCACTGACGCCGGCGGCGGCGGCGGGGGCGGAGGGGGGGTGCTTCTCGCAAGAGCTGCAGATTCGGCGTGGATTCACGAAGCCGATGGTGAGTGATGCGCGTTGACTGCGTGATATAGGGTGTTGAGATGATGATGGCGGCTCGGGAGGAACGCTTTGGTGACTTTTGAGTCGACTCAAAAGTCATTCGGCATGGATACATGAAGCCAATGGTGAGCGACGCGCCTTGACCGCGGCGTGATGTAGGGTGTTGAGATGATAGGCGCTTGGAACAAATGGTTTGGTGACTTTTGAGTCAACTCAAATCCGCGTGGATAAGCCGATGACGAGCGACGCGCCTTGACCGTCGGGAGGAGGGTGTTGAGATAATGGCGGCTTGGGCGGAAGGGCTTTTGGGAGGAAGTGTGGGAAGGGGAGGGGAAGGGGAGCGGGGGAAAGGAAGACAGGGAGGGATTTTGGGGGGTGGAAAGAGGGCGAATTGAGAAGGCGGAAAGAAGGGCAAGTTTGGCTTTGAGGCTACCCAGAAGGAAAGGTTCATTGGGAGGGGCCGTTTGAGAGGTCGGCATATCCCCGTTTATCGGGAGGTTTTCTCTTTTAACTCACTGCGACCAACGGCTCACAACGGTGCGCGCAGAAAGGGGAGATATTAAGTGGACTCAGAAGTCTTTTATGGAGGTTCGCAGTATACTAGTGCAAGCGCTGCTTCATGCCAGACAGTGTACTACACCCCCCTTTCAACTCTATGCATAACTCCTCGTTCTCCCACTTGCATCTTGAAACATGAGATTCCTCGCCTGTCAAGTGGCTGGTGGAGATAATGGGCGCGTGGGGCAAGCAGCTCGCAGGGTGACTTGAGCAGTAGTGTGCCTGTGCCGCTTCATGCATACAGTGTACACCCCCCCTCATCTTGATATCCTTCTTTGTTCTGTTCTTTCCGTCCCCAGCCAAGTGGCTGGCAGAAATAATGGGCGCGTGGAACAAACAGTTCGCGGGGTGGCAGGCGAACGGGGTGTGTGCGACCGCGTGGGGTCTGAGCTGCAAGGATGTGTCGGGGCGAGTCGCTTCCATGTGAGTGTGACGTGGATTCATGTGAGTGTGACGTGGATCCATGTGAGTGTGACGTGGATTCATGGGAGAGCAACGTGTAGGTGAGTGTGAAGTGCATGTTAGTGGGTCATGCGTGTGAGTATTGTAGTATGTGCGCATGTGAGTGCGAAACCTGATGCCACCTCCTCCATATCCATCGATGACGTCATCCCATTCCCCACCACTCCCCCACCATGCCACCATGCCACCATGCCACCATGCATCCATGCCACCATGCCACCATGCATCCATGCATCATGCCACCATGTCACCATGTCACCATGCCACCATGCATGCAGGGCTCTCCCCTCGCAGCAGCTGAGTGGAGGCATCCCATCGGCCATCAGCCACTTGACCTACCTAACACGCCTGTGAGCCACTTGACCTACCTCACACGCCTGTGAGCCACTTGACCTACCTCACACGCCTGTGAGCCACTTGACCTACCTCACACGCCTGTGAGCCACTTGACCTACCTCACACGCCTGTGAGCCTTTCACGGATTTCTTGCTGAAGATTCTGTCACGCCATGATGCCCCTACATTCCGCACCAATCAACCGCATACACGTGCAATGCACTTGATCAGCCTCGCACTTGCACATGCTCCACCTACCTACTATCGTTCACCTTCATTTCTCCCATACCTAACTCAACGCTCTCTGCCCCACTCTCTTCTACCACTTCACTTCCAAGAACCCTACTTTCTCCCTCTCCCTTTGTCTCGTCAGAGGCTTGGGCTACAAATTCAGAGGTGCCTCAAAACTCTCCGTTCTCCCCCTCTCCCTCTGTGCTACCAGGGACTAGAGCGCCGACCAGCTATGTTGGAACCACTCTAAGATTTCGCTTGAAGGGACTCGAGCTCCAACTCTTGAGGCGCCCCAAAACTCTTTCTCCCCTCTCCCCCTGTGTCGCCAGGGACTTGAGCTCCAACCAGCTCTCAGGCTCCCTCCCTGACTTCCTTGGTGCCCTGCTCAACCTTCAATACCTGTACATAGTACACTGTGGACCACGTTCCATGTGCTATGTACCATGTGCCATGTACCATGTACCATGTACCATGTACCATGTACCATGTGCCATGTACCATGTACCAGGTACCATGTACCATGTACCATGTGCCATGTACCATGTACCATGTGCCATGTACCATGTGCCATGTACCATGTACCATGTACCATGTACCATGTACCATGTTCCATGTACCATGTGCCATGTACCATGTACCATGTGCCATGTACCATGTACCATGTGCCATGTACCATGTGCCATGTACCATGTACCATGTTCCATGTACCATGTGCCATGTACCATGTGCCATGTACCATGTACCATGTACCATGTACCATGTGCCATGTACCATGTACCATGTACCATGTACCATGTTCGATGTACCATGTGCCATGTACCATGTGCCATGTACCATGTACCATGTACCATGTACCATGTGCCATGTGCCATGTGCCCTGTGCCATGTGCCCTGTGCCATGTGCCCTGTGCCATGTGCCATGTGCCATGTGCCATGTGCCATGTGTCATGCGTCATATGCCATGCGCCATACGCCATGCACCATGCGCCATGCGCCATACGCCACGCCATGCCTCATGTGCCATGCGCCATACGCAATGTGCCATACAGCATGTGCCATCTTGCTCGTAGAGAGAGGGTACTCACAGGCACACAAGTCACATGTACTGCTGCCAAGTTGTTCAGCGCAAATTAACCACTCCTTCTGCAGCATGATGATTGGACGGAGGGCATGGTGAGATAGTAGCGACGTATACAGCACATGGCCTAGAGCTATTGGCATTGAAGTCACCGGCATTCAAGTGTTGAAATGCAATGTGTTGCAATGCAATGTGTTGCAATGCAATGTGTTGCAATGCAATGCATGCGTGTGTGCCACATGCGCCATGCAACGAGTGGCTGGAAGGACTTGACAGATTGTAAAAGGAAATGCATGATTGTGTGACACATGCGCCACATGCGCCATGCCATGTGTGGCTGCAGGGACTTGAGTGGCAACTCATTTGAGGGAGCCATTCCCAGCAGCTTCAGCAACCTCGTGAACCTCCGATCGCTGTGAGTCTGATTAAATGTCACTTGAATGCCGAATATGACTCTTGAGTTGACTCAAAAGTCACCTCGTTATAATGGCACCACAGCTTCAGCAGCCTTTTAAACCCCCGAATCTCCAATCGCTGTTACTCCGATGAAACATCACCTGAACTCCGTGCTTCGCTTTGCAGCAAGGGCTGACTTCGCTGTTGTTTCGGCAAAGGGAAGGTGCTTGCATGTGGAAAATCATGCTTGAATCTGCTGTTCTCGCCCCCTCCTACCTCTCATCCTTCCATTCCCTCCTCTCCCTCCTCCTCTATCATCTACCCTCCTCCCTCATCCTCCTCACATTTTCTCCCTCTCAACCCCGCTCTTTCACTGTCAACCCATCATCAGCTCTCTGCACCACAATCAACTCTCAGGCGCCATTCCACCTTTCATTGACCAAGCCAAGCTCCTCTCCCTTCTGTGAGAAATCCTCCCCTCCTTTCTTTGAGCAATCCTCCTCTCCCTTCTGTAGGCAACCTCTGGTACCCACCTCTAGAACTCAGGCTGTACACACTGCAAAGTGTCGAGTCTTCCGCTCCTTTCCTTGCCCTCATCCCCTCTGTCCACCTCTCAGCTTCACCAGGTAGCATCTGCTAACTCTCCCCTCCCACCCTTCCCCCGCACGAGATGAGACGATTTTTGAGCTGACTGAAATATCGTCCCACCTTCCAGCTTCGCCGTGTGGCATCTGCTAGGTCTCCCCTCCCACCTCCCTCCCACCCTTCCCCCACAACTTTTTAGAGGCGCCTCAAAAGTCGCCCCATCCAGCTTCACCGGGTGGCATCTGCTAGGTCCCCCCTCCTCCCACCCTTCCCCCGCTCCTCCCCCATGCCTGCAATGTGCAATGAGGGAGTCTGAGCAGCAACCGTTGCAGGGGAGTCGTCTCAAAATCTCATGTCCGCATCTTCTATCCTACATGCCCGCACATCCCCCCCATGCCCGCACCTCCCCCATGCCCGCACCTCCCCCATGCCCGCACCTCCCCCATGCCCGCACCTCTCGCCATCCCAGCACCTCCCCCATGCCCACACCGCATGAGCAGGGATATGAGCAGCAGCCACTTCACAGGATCATTCTTTACATGTTTCATATTTTCCGCACCCTCCCCCATGCCCTCACCCTATGAGCAGGGATCTGAGCAGCAACAGCTTCACAGGACCCATTCCGCCTCAAGTCGCCACTCTCACCAACCTCACCACCTTGTGCGCCGCTCCCCCCTCCCCTCCCTCTTGCTTCTCCCTTCTCCTCTCTCCTTTCCTAATCCGTAAACCCCAAACCTTGAACTTAAATCACGTCTCCTCTCTCCTTCTCCTCGCTTCTCTCTCTCCCCGCTTTCCCCCTTCTCCCCCCTTGCGTTCTTCCACGTGCTTACCAATCCTCCCTACCTTCCTCACCAAGTTAAACTCTCTCCCAAAACAACTCAAGTGGCTGGCTGGCTGGCAGCTTTAGATGGAGGGGTATGGGGACATTCCTTTTAATTCTCCTCTGCTTCTGCCATCTCCGTATCGTTCCCCTGTTCCTTTAGCAATCCTTTTCCTTCCCTCAACTCGCTCCCTTCATTTTTGGATCCCCTCATCTCCCCTCTTTTGCTGCTCCCTTATACTTCCCTCTTTTTCCACTTCCTCCCCCTGTCTTTCCTATACGAGCCGTACGCAGAAGCTTGGGTGCCAACAAGGGATTGGCTGGCAGCATTCCCGAGGCAATAGGCAACCTCACGTCCCTGGAGTCTCTGTGAGCGACCAGGTGGCTTGTTTTGAGTTTGCTCCGCACAGCTGACTTTTTTTGTCGGCGTAAGAGTTAGTTCAGAGGCATCGGGCAACCACCAGGGCACACTGCGCTGGTGTCTCTGTGAGTAGGTGGGTGGCAGCCAGGATGGGTAGGTGGAAGTGTCTCATACACACATCTGTTCTCATCCCTTCCATACTCCTTCCATTTCTCTTGTGTCTCCATTATCACCGCTTTCCACCTTTCCGTTATCTTCAAGTGCGCATACAGAGAGCAGCAACAATCAGCATCATGTTAACCTCACACCCCACTTGTTAAAGCGAGAGTATTTTTGCCCTCCACTCCCTGCCACCAGCAATCTGGGGTCAACTCACCTCAATAGCTCGCTGCCGCTTACCCTGAGGGTGTTTTTGAGGCTTCTCAGAGCCACCTTGAGTTTTCACCTTCAATGGTTTTTTACCTTCCATGCTCTTTCACTTCACTCTCCACACCCTGTCACCACCAGCAAGCTGGGGTCAGCTCAGCTCAATGGCTCCCTGCCCCTCAGCCTGAGCCGTCTCACTCAACTCACCATGCTGTAAGCTGTGAGGCACGGGCAGGGATGCAGGGCGCTGTAGGGCATCCAATTAACGATGGTGAGAGGCATCCCTTTTTCCCTGTTGTACACTGTTTAGAACGGCTCATCTTGTGTTGTGATTGTATCATGATTGGACTCTGTTCCAGCTTCTGAGTTTGTTCCTTGCCCTGTTCTCCTTCGTTGGTTGTCTTTTTTTCAAGCAGCATTGTTCCCTTCCACATACCATCCTCCCTCCCTCCCAACTCCCTTGCAGCAACGTCAGCAACACGGAAATCAGTGGCACCCTGCCAGCTTTCCAAGGGAGGTGTTTCTTTTGTCTACTAAGAATAATTTCTCCCACACACCATCCTCCCTCCTTCCAATCTCTCTTCCAGTGACATCAGCAACACGGCTATCAGCGGCTCTGTGCCAGCTTTTCTCGGGAGCCTCTCTGACTTCCTCACATTGTCAGTTGCTCGCATTCTTGCTTTCCCGCTTCCTAACGTTGCCTTTTCTTACTTCCTCACGTTGCCTCAGAAGCTCGCTCTCTCAATTTCTCACACCCGCTTCCCTGCATCTAGAATTCCACATTCCACATTCCCACTTCCTGCTGCCTCTACTTCCATTGGTTCTCTTTTGAGTCGACTCAGATGTCTGCATCCCATCATTCTTCTTCCACCCCATCCTTTGCTTGCCTTGCAGCATGAAGAGCAGCAACATGGCATGCAACAGCACCACCGACAGCAGCAGCAGTGTGTGCGCCCTGATCAACCCCTCAACAGTCTCCCGCAACTCGGCCTTCTGCCGGGAGTGCTCCGACCTCTGCTCCACGTGCCTCCCAGGTATGCTACCCAGTGCACCACGTACCTTTCAGGTGAGGCTTCATGCAATCCCTTTTACCACTCTGCTAACTCACGAGAAATATGACTTGCAGCAGTAGCAACAGAAACAGCAGCAGCAACAGCAGCAACAGCACCACCGGCAGCAGCAGCAGTGTGTGCCCCTTGGTCAACCCCTCAACAGTCTCCCGCAACTCAGCCTTCTGCCGGGAGTGCTCCGATCTCTGCTCCACCTGCCTCCCAGGTGAGGCTTCAATCAACTCCTATCCGCCACCCTGCCTCTCAGGTGCCGCATTCATGCAATCCCACTCGCCACCATGCCTTCCTTTTTCCCTTCTATTCCCTCCTCCCCACCACTGCTCCTCCTGCTCCTCTCCCTCATCTCTCCCCATCTTCACTCGACTGCTCTCCTCCCCTTGTCGCTCGTCCCCTTGTCCCACCATGTCCTCCTGCGCCCTCCCCTCCTCCTGCTGCTGCTGCTGCTGCTGCTGCTGCTGTGCTGGGAGGGCTGCTGTTTCTGCTTCTGCTGCTCTGGTTCTTTCCCCATCTTCACTCCACTGCTCTCCTCCCCTTTCTCCTCCCGTCTGTGCCCTCTCTCTGCAGCCGCCCCCCCGCCCACCGACCCCTCACAACCCTCAGGCTCCTCTTCCTCTGCTTCTACGGGTCTCATAGTTGGGGTGGCTGTGGCAGGGGCCGTGCTGCTGCTGCTGCTGCTGTGGGCGGTCCTTTGGTGGTGGAGAAGACGGGAGCGTGGGGAGAAGCAAGGTGGGTGGGTGGGTGTGTGTCACTATTCTTTCTTTTCATGTATGTGCGTGCGTGCGTGCATGATTGCGTGCGTGCGTGCGTGCGTGCGTGCGTGCGTGCGTGCGTGATGGCGTGTGTGTGTGCGTGCGTGCGTGCGTGCGTGCGTGCGTGCGTGCGTGCGTGCGTGCGTGCGTGGTTGCGTGTGTGGTTGCGTGCGTGGTTGCGTGCGTGCGTGCGTGCGTGCGTGCGTGCGTGCGTGCGTGCGTGCGTGCGTGCGTGCGTGCGTGGGTGCGTGCGTGCGTGCGTGCGTGCGTGCGTGCGTGCGTGCGTGCGTGCGTGCGTGCGTGCGTGCGTGCGTGCGTGCGTGCGTGCGTGGTTGCGTGCGTGCGTGCGTGCGTGCGTGCGTGCGTGCGTGCGTGCGTGCGTGCGTGCGTGCGTGCGTGCGTGCGTGGTTACGCTGGGGAGGGAGAGGGACATGCGGCAGGCCACAGCAGACTGGCCCTCCAGGAACCGCATCCCACTCCCCGTATGCCTGTTTTTACCCCTGTGTACCCATCCCCACCTCTCCCAGGCCCATCGCCCTTCACGGTTGCTGTTGGGGAGGGAGAGGAGCCCATAGACTGCCAGCAGTACTCAATAGAGGACATGCGGCGGGCCACAGCAGACTGATCCTCCAGGAACCTGCTTTCACCTCTCCGTGCCCCTGTCTGTCAATATCCCGCTGTACCCATCCCCACCCCTCTCAGGCCCATCGCCCTTCACAGTGGCAGTGGGGGAAGGCGAAGAGCCGATAGACTGCCAGCAGTATTCCATAGAGGACATGCGCAGGGCCACAGCGGACTGGTCCTCCAGGAACCGCATCCCTCCTCCCCGTGTCCCTGTCCCCGCCCTCTGTCCCCACCCACTGTCCTCACCCTCCTGCCCTGCATCCCTCCCAGGCCCATCGCCCTTCACAGTGGCGGTGGGGGAAGGCGAAGAGCCAATCGACTGCCAGCAGTATTCCATAGAGGACATGCGCAGGGCCACAGCAGACTGGTCCTCGCGGAACCGCATCGGCACGGGGGGCTTTGGAGATGTGTTCAGAGGGGCGTCGCCGTACGACCCAAGTGTGTTTTGGGCGGTGAAGCGGGCGCGCGTCCTCACTAACGACTTTCTGCAGGAGGTGAGTGGTGATAGCATGTGGTATAGATGGCATTGCAATCCAATCCCTTTGGGCACGGGGGGCGTCCCCGACCCGAGCGTGTACTGGGTGGTGAAATGGGCGCGAGTGCTTACCAACGACTTTCTGCAAGAGGTGAGAGCTTATACACATGCAGGGTAAATACACTGTAGTTGATTTGATAGGATGTAGGGTTTTGTTTTTAGCCAACTTCCCCCTCCCCCCCACCCCAACCGCAGATCGAGCACATGGCGAGCAAGAACCACCCGTGCCTGGTGCGGCTGCTGAGGTGTTGCCACTGTCTCTCACACTCCCTCACTCTCACACTCCCTCACTCTCACACTCTCTCAGATCGAGCACATGACGAGCAAGAACCACCCGTGCCTGGTGCGGCTGCTGGGGATTTGCCACGACTACCCCTGTCCCTCCCCTCTCGATGTGTCGCCCTTATCCCTGTCTCGCCAATCACTCTCCCCCTCTCTCCCCTTCCCCTCTCCTCTGCAGATCGAGCACATGGCGAGCAAGAACCACCCGTGCCTGGTGCGGCTGCTGGGGTTCTGCCACGACTACAACCCGCGCACGCAGCGCATGGAGCAGATTGTGATCTACGAATTCATGGATAATGGGGACCTGTCTCAGTGGACAAAACCAGGTAGGCGGGAAGGGGGGGCTGTCTCTGTGGAGCAAAGCATGTGGAGGGGAGGGAAGAAGGGAGGGAGAGGTGAGTACAACCCGCGCACACAGCGCATGGAGCAGATCGTGATCTATGAGTTGATGGATAATGGCGACCTGTCTCAGTGGACCAAAGCAGGTGAGGGAGGCGGGGGGAGGGGCATGTCCGAGTGGACTAGAGCAGGTGAGGCAGGGAAGGAGTGAGGGAATCAGTGAGGGAGGGAGGAGGTATGAGTACAACCCACGCACGCAGCGCATGGAGCAGATCGTGATATATGAGTTCATGGACAATGGGGACTTGTCCCAATGGACCAAAGCAGGTATGAATGAAAGAGGTATGGAAGAAATAGAGAAAGGGAGGGGTGAATATAACCCTCACAAGCAGCGCATGGAGCGGATTGTAATTCACGACTAGAGCAGGTGAGGCAGGGAAGGAGTGAGCGAATGAGGGAGGGAGGGAGGAGGTATGACTATAACCCGCACACGCAGCGCATGGAGCGGATTGTAATTCATGAATCCATGTGGGGACTTGTCGCAGTGGACCAAAGCAGGTGCGGGTGAAGTGAAGGGACTTGTGTCAGTGCACGAAAGCAGATCGGTGGCACAGGGGCTGGTGTACCTGCATGGCTGTGGCATCTCCCATTCAAGGCTGCTCATTCCCCTTCCCCCTGCCCATTGCCACCAGGGGGAAAGCACCTGACAGAGGTCCAGCTGCTGGAAACGCTGCTGTCGGTTGAACAGGGGCTGGCTGGCGTACCTGCATGCATGGCTGTGGCATCTCACAACATGCGAGCCAATGTCTCTCTTTGGCACAGCGCTTGAATCTACCTGCATCGCGGCAGTGCTTCATTGCCATTCCCCGTTCCTCCCTCCCACCATCAGGCGCCAAGCACCTGACAGCGGTCCAGCTGCTGGACACGCAGCTGTCGGTGACACAGTGGCTGGCATTCCTGCATGGCTGTGCCTGTCAAGAGCGAACATTATCCCCCTGCATCCTCCTCCCCACCACCACCAGGCGCCAAGCACCTCACGGGGGTTCAGCTGCTGGACATGCTGCTGTCGGTGGCGCAGGGCTTGGCGTACCTGCATGGCTTTGGCATCGTGCATCGGGACATCAAGCCGGGGAACATACTGCTGGATAAAAGCATGCAGGTGGGAGGTGTCTCGCTGTCTTATGCTGATTGCAGCATGCAGGTGGGAGGTGTCTTGTGCTGTACCAGCATGCAGGTGGGAGGTGTCTTGTGCTGTACCAGCATGCAGGTGGGAGGTGTCTTGTGCTGTACCAGCATGCAGGTGGGAGGTGTCTTGTGCTGTACCAGCATGCAGGTGGGAGGTGTCTTGTGCTGTACCAGCATGCAGGTGGGAGGTGTCTTGTGCTGTACCAGCATGCAGGTGGGAGGTGTCTTGTGCTGTACCAGCATGCAGGTGGGAGGTGTCTTGTGCTGTACCAGCATGCAGGTGGGAGGTGTCTTGTGCTGTACCAGCATGCAGGTGGGAGGTGTCTTGTGCTGTACCAGCATGCAGGTGGGTTCCTTTGAGTCGACTCGAGAGGTACCTGCATGGCTTTGGCATCGTGCATCGAGACATCAAGCCGGGGAACATCCGGCATTGGGCTGTTGAAGGAGAGTACGAGCAGAAATCATGCATACGTCCTTCTATCTTTTTTATTCACCTTCCATCTCTGCGGGCGAAGCTATCAGACTTTGGGCTGCTTCTTATGAGTGAGAGCAGCACAGTGAAGTCAACACAAGTCAACAGGAGGAAAAGAAAGTCAACTCCTCCCATCTTCTTTATCCACCTTGCACCTCTGCGGGCGAAGCTACCAGACTTTGGGCTGCTTCTTATGAGTGAGAGCAAGCAGCACAGTGAAGTCAACAACACAATTCAACAGGGGGACATGAAAGTCAACTTTGGGCTGCTGTCTTATCCTATCTGTCTTATCTCCCTTAAATCGCTTCAGGCAAAGCTGTCAGACTTTGGGCTGCTGCGCATGAGTGAGAGCAGCACAGTCAAATCAACTCGGGTGATGGGCACACCGGGCTATGTGGACCCCACCTATGCTCAGACCCGCAAGGCCACCACTGCAGCCGATGTGTACAGGTATTGAGAAGTGCAGGGTGGTGCAGTGCGGTACAGGGCAATGCAGTGCGGTGCAGGGTGGTGCAAGCAGGGTATTGTCCTGTATGGGAGTGATGGGCACACCGGGCTATGTGGATCCCACTTATGCTCAGACTCGCAAGGCCACCACTGCAGCTGATGTGTACAGGTACAGTGCGGTACAGTGCGGTACAGTGCGGTGCAGGGAGGTGCAAGTTGGGTATTTTCCGTTATGGGAGTGCATGCGGGTGATGAGCACACTGGGCTATGTGGACCCCATTGATTCTCAGACTTGCAAGGCCACCAATTATCATGCCTTTGATCTTGCATAAGCCCTTCATTATCCCATGCCCCTGCCTCCTCCCCATGCCCCTGCCTCCTCCCCATGGCCCTGCCTCCTCCCCATGCCCCTGCCTCCTCCCCATGCCCCTGCCTCCTCTCACGCCTCTGACTCCTCCCATGCCCCTTGCTTGCATGGCTGGCACGCAGCTTTGGCGTTTTGATTCTGGAGCTCCTCACGTGCAAGAAAGCTGTCTTCCCTATTAACAACCGCCCTGTGCATCTCCGAGACTGGGTGGGTAGCCTGATGTTTCACCACTCACGTGAGTGATTGTAAGTTCGTTTTGAGAAGTTTGTTGTGAGGCGTCTCAAAACAAATGTATCAACAACCGCCCCGTGCATCTCCGAGACTGGGTGGGTCGCCTGTGTTAGAAATAGGTTGTCAACACTTTGTACTATATTCTATATCGGTTAGGTTATTTTTTAGGTTTGATGTAGATTGTAATCCCAACCCTATCTGGTTGGGATTCCCTCGTGATCCAGCAAATCTGCCAACTCACCAATTGGAGATTTGCTAGGATTCCCATCCCATCATTTCCCTAGCTTTGCCCAACCCAACCTTGTTTGTACTTAAGGCCTAGCGCCTTCTTGACTAATCAATCAGTTCAGCTCCATTTCTATCATGGTATCGAGCTAGTAAATTCCGCTCACGCGGAATCCCGATCCTTGGCGTCGGGATGGTTCTCTTCTTTTCAGCTATACCTCTTTCGGCTTTCGGCTCCTACGCTTAGCGTTTTCCGACTTCACGTCTTCGCGCCGTTCAAGAGCGCATTCACATTCCGTCTTCGCGCACTTTCGATTTCCACGGCGATTCATTCTCTTCCACTTCCTTCATCGTAAGCTTCTGGAAAATTACATTTCCGTCGCGAATTTCTCGTGTTTCTTAATTTCTTAACTTCGAGCAGGTTTTCAGCGGCGCAGTAGAACAGGTCAACGGCGCAGCAGAACAGGTTCAGCGGCGCAGCAGAACATGTCCAGCAGCGCAGCGGAACAGGTTCAGCGGCACAGCAGAACAGGTCCAGCGGCGCAGCGGAACAGGTTCAGCGGCGCAGCATAACAGGTCCAGCGGCGCAGCGGAACAGGTTCAGCGACGCAGCAGAACAGGTCAGCGGCGCAGCGGAACAGGTTCAGCGGCGCAGCAGAGAAGCGGTTTAGGGGCAGCGACGAAGCAGAACAGGGGGCATCGGCGAGGCAGAGCAGCAGACCAGAATCCGGGCTTTCCTTTGCCGAAATTACGTTTCGCTCTGCTACGTATCGGAGACTTTAGCGCTGCGCTCCGCGCGAAATGGCGACTTCAACTTCCACCATAGTTGGAAATCTCATCGTTCTCAATCTTGCTCCCAACGGCACGAGCACCAACTTTGGGGAGTGGTGCTATGGAGTGGAGAAGCACCTCCTTAGCTCGGAGCTCAAAGGGGTTTGCCTCAAGGACATCCTCCTCAACCGCGGCAAGGGAAAGATGCCTCTCCCTCCCGATCCTCTTGGAGAAGGAGCAACTGCCGCAGCCAAGACCGCATTTGAGGCTAAGACCACCCAGTACGAGACCGACTTCAGCTTGTGGGAGCAGGCGGATGCGGCAGTTATTAGGGTTTTCATCACCACCACTCCGGTTGATCTTGTCAAATCCTACCGCACATTTCGCTCCGCGCATGACATCTGGAAGTACCTCCAGGACCGTTTCCATGACAAGACCGCAGTGGGAGTTGCTATCCTCATCCCTCGAATGTTCCAGATCCGCCTTGAAGAATGCCCTGCAATGGCGGACTACATTTCTGAAATTCGTAACATCCACGAGGAACTCAAGGATATCGGGATCACCTTCCCCGAACAGGCACCTGCAGCTGGGCTACTCGTAGGTCTTACCCCGGCCTACAATGTTACCAGTTCCATGCTCAAGCAGCTCCCCACGAAGGAACTCACCTTCGAGAAAGTCGCATCGGCCCTTCTTTCTGCTGAAAAGGACCTTGCGGCCCAAGCATCCGTCAATGCTGTGCGCTACACCCCTGGTATTCCATTCCGCTCCCAGCAGGGACCGAGGCGCAACTCCTTTCCCCCATGCCCCTACATCATTAGGAAGGGTCCACGTGCAGGGCAAAAATGCGGAGGCACCAACCACCCTGAGGCAACTTGCTTCAAGAAGCGAGATGACGAGTGGTATGACGTCCACGGTGTCTCCACCAACAAGCGTCCTCCCAACTGGGCCCCACCCCGCCGCGTGAACCAGGTCGAGGCAGTGGAGGAACCTGCTCAGGCATTTGCTAGCGCCCCATCTGATGTTCGCATCAATCTATTGTTCTCTGGTGCTGGTATTATTAATGAGAAGGGATCGCAGTACATCGGTGTTTCAAACACACAGGGGATCGAGTTCATACTAGACAGTGGTGCCACCCACACAGTGCTCAAAGACCAAACCGCATTCGTTCCCTACCAGGCTCCCACCCCACTCCTTGGAGCCGATTCTAGCTTCTCTATCCAATGCCATGGGTCCTCCACAGTTCCTTGTCCAGCCTTCCCATCCGGCACAGTCATTGGCATCTGTGCCCCAACCCTCCACTACAACCTCCTTGCACTGCGCGAAATCCAACATACAGGAGTGATCACCATCTTTCCCAATGATGTTGACTACTGTGACCTCTATGACGCCAAAACCCACATCCATCTAGCCCGTTTCACCCTAAACTCCAACAACCTCTACACACTAGTTGTACCTCCCGTTCACACATGTTCGCTCACCAATCTTCCGCTTCCTTCCTCAGACTCCGCCACCTGTCACTGTCGTCTCCTCTCTGACAAAACCATGCTATTTCATCACCGCCTCGGCTACATCAACTTCCGCGCACTTTCAGACCTCGCCACCAAACAGCTCCTCCACGGGTTACCAGCCTCGCTTCCTTCACCTACCTCCCACCTAGGGCCGCCTTGCCTTGACTGCGCGCAGAGCAAGCTTCGTGAACAGCCCCATCCTCCCAGTGAGTCCATCTCCACCGCACCTCTCGATCGCGTCCACATGGACCTTTGGGGTCCTGCTCCTGTTCGCTCTCGTGGCGGACACTTCTATTTCCTAGTCATCATTGATGACTATTCCCGCTATGTGTCTGTCCATCTTCTCACCTCCAAGTCTGAAGCCCCAGCCATCATCATGGAATGGGCCCGGCAGGCTCATAAACACTTCAAAACCACAATCAAGGTTCTTCACTCTGACGGTGGCGGTGAATTCCGCAACAACGCCCTCAGAGCGTTCTTCTCAACTGAGGGTATCCTTCAGACCTTCACTCTCCCATACAGTCCCCAACAGAACGGTGTTGCTGAGAGCCGGAACCGCACCTTGGTGCAGATTGCTCGCTGCCTCCTCACTCACGCCTCCGCCCCTCCCTCTCTTTGGGGGTACGCCATGCTCCACGCTGCCGCCCTCCACAATCTCCATCCTCATCCTCATCACACCCACACCACCTCCGCTGAGCTGTGGACGGGTCAGAAGCCGTCCGTCCGCCCTCTTCGTGTATGGGGTTGCACTTCCTATGTCCTCCTCAACTCCAAGCCCGTCGTGCAGCTGGCGGCAAACTTGCTCCCAAAACAGTCACGTGCGTGTACCTCGGGCACAACTCAGACTCGCCAGACTATCTCTTCCTTCATCCTTCCACCAACAAGCTCTATCGCAGCCGTGTCGTTTTCTTTTATGAGTCTCACCCGTTCTACCCCTCCTCCAAGGCTTCCCCCTCTCCTCCTCCTCCTTCTCTCACTTGGGCTGACTTTGACAGTCTTCCTCCCCCCGCCAATCCATCTCTTCCTCTTCCCGCTCCCTCCACCGTCTCTGTCCCGCCACCACCCACTTCCCCCTCCAGCACCACGCAGTCTCCTCCGCTCCTTCCCTCCCTTCCCCCGCCGGCCCCCTCTCTCCCCTCTCCTCCCGCTCTAGCTCCTGCTCCTTCTCCCACTCCTCCCTCCTCGCCTCCTCCTCTCAAAACCTACAAACGGCGTCCTCCGGCTCCTTCTCCTCCTGCTCCTGCTCCAGCTCCTGATCCTACTCTTGCTCCCACTCCCACTTCACCTACCGCTACTCCTCCTCCAGCTCCCCCTCCCTCCCCCATCACTTCACGCACCCGCTCTCACAAAACTCCACAGCCGCTCTCCCTTTCCGTTCGAGTCTCCCTCAATCTTCCTCCTGTCGGGGGTGATTATTCTCTCATGCCCTCCCTCCTTGAGGACAGACATGAGGAGTTGATTGACATCGACTCAGCCATCCACGCGCTCTGCTTCCTCTTTCCAGATATCGCAGACTCTCCCACCCTCAACTTCTCTGACAACCCCTCCATCCCTACACCTCTCACCTATGCTGAAGCAGTTTCTGGTCCTCACGCAGCCCAGTGGTTGGGGGCCATTGTTGCAGAATGTGAGGTCTTCATTCACACTGTAACTTTCACAGATGTCTTTCCTCCCTCCGGCGTCAACATCGTGAAGGAGAAATGGGTTTTTCGGGTGAAGCAACTTCCAGGCGAATTTCCTGTCTTCAAAGCCCGGTACTGTGCCAAGGGATTTACCCAAAAGCATGGACTAGACTTCTTTGAGACATTCTCTCCCACCGCCAAACCCCCCACACTACGCACCCGTCTCGACGTTGTCGCTCGAGATGACATGGAGGTTGACTGCATGGATGTGTTTTCTGCATTTCTTCAAGGGGTCCTTCGAGAGGAGATCTATATGGAGTGGGGCACTGTATGGAAGCTGAATCGGCCAGTGTATGGCCTCAAGCAAGCACCCCAAGAATGGCACAACAAGCTCAAGAGCACCTTAGGTTCCCTCGACTTTCACCCATCCACCTCTGACCCCAGCCTCTTCATCCGAGCAACACCGTCCCGCTTCTTCATCTTGGTTTATGTCGATGACATGATCCTTGTCACCAAGGACCAGGCTGAGTTGGCAGCAGTCAAAACCGCACTTGGGGAGAAGCTGGCCATGAAGGACCTTGGGAAGCTGACGAACTATTTGGGCATGGAAATCACACGTGATCGCACGGCCCGCACCATCACCCTCTCGCATAAGTTTTATATCAACAACGTCCTGACGCGGTTCAAGATGCAGGATGTAACATCAATGCCTACCCCACTTTCTCTG